AGAAATGGACCCAAACCACTATGCTCAATTAATATTTGACAAAGGAAGCAAGAGCATACAATGGAGTCAAGACAGTCTCTTCAATAATAGTGTTGGGAAATTGGTCAGATACTTCAAAAAAATGAAACTAGACCACCACCTTATACCATACACAAAAATAAACTCAAAATGGATAAAGGACTTAAATGTAAGATGGGAAACCATAAAAATCTTAGAAGAAGCCATAGGCAGCAAAATAGCAGACATTTGTGTTAGCAATACCTTTACTGATACAGCTCCTAGGGCAATGGAAACTAAAGAGAAAATAAACAAATGGGACTACATAAAAACAACAACAACAAACTTCTGCACAGCAAAAGAACCATCAACAAAACAACAAGAAAGCCCACTGCATGGGAGAACATATTTGCTAATGTTATCACCAATAAGAGTTTAATTTCCAACATTTACAGGGAACTCACATAACTTAACAAATGAAAGATAAACAATCCAATCAAAAAATGGGCAAAGGACCTAAATAGACACTTTTTGAAAGAGGACATTCAAAAGGCCAAGAGGCATATGAAAACATGCTCAAAGTCACTAATCATCCAAGAGATGCAAATCAAAAAAACAATGAGGTACCATCTCACACCTGTCAGGATGGCTATCATCAACAAATCAACAAACAACAAGTGCTGGAGAGGATGTGGAGAAAAAGGAACCCTCCTGCAGTGCTGGTGGGAATGCAGACTGGTGCAGCCACTGTGGAGAACAGTATGGAGTTTCCTCAAAAAGGTAAAAATGGAACTTTTATTTGACCCAGTAATACCACTTTTAGGAATATATCCCAAGAAACCAAAAACACCAATGAGAAAGGATATATGCACCCCTATGTTTATAGCAGCACAATTTACCCTAGCTAAGATGTGGAAACAGCCTTAATGCCCATCATCAAATGAATGGATTCAAAAACTGTGGTACATCTACACAATGGAATACTACACTGCGGTAAAAAAGAAGGAATTCTTACCATTTGCAACAGCATGGATGGAAGTGGAGAGTATTATGCTAAGTGAAATAAGCCCATCATTGAAAGAAAAATACCACATGATCTCACCCATTTATGGATAATAAAGAACATTATAAACTGATGAACAAATATAGATACAGTGGCAGAGCAGCATCGAACAGTCTGTCAAAATACAGTGGGAAGGTTGGGTAGGGTTGGGCGGGGGAGGTAAGAGATCAACTGAAGGACTTGTATGCATGCATATAAGCATAACCAATGGACACAAGATACTGGGGAGTAGGGGAGGCCAGGGGAAGGTCAATGGAGGAAAAAAGGAGACATATATACTACTCTTTGTAATACTTTAAGCAATAAAATTAAATTAAAAGAAAATATACCAATAACCAATAAACACCTAAGAAGATAATTAACAGCACTAGCTATCAGGCAAATACAAATCAAAACCACAATGAGATACTATTTCACACCCATTAGGATGAGCACTACCAAAAAACAAAATAGCAGCCTGGCTGGTGTGGCTCATGGTTGAGTGTGGACCTATGAACCAGAAGGTCATGGTTTGATTCCCAGCCTAGGTTGCAAGCTTGATCTCTAGTGTGGAGAGTGCAGGAGGCAGAAAATCAATGATTCTCTCTCATTATTAATGTTTCTATCTCTCTCCATGTCTGAAGTCAATAAAAGCAAACAAACAACAACAAAATCACCACACACACAGCAAAATAACAGGTATTGGCAAGAATGTGGAGAAATTAGAATCCTGGGCATTTCTGGGAGAAATGTAAAATGGTAGAGTTGCCTTGGGAAATGAGATGATGATTCTTTAAAAAATTAAACATAGACTTCTAGGAAAAGAATACAAATTATGCTTTTTAAAGGGAAATTAAGGAAAGTGGGAAGAGACAGTGAGTTGACTCTTTCAGACCACAGTAAGGTAAGAACATAATAGTAGATTAAAAGTTAGCTTTCAAAATTCCTCCCCATCTCTTCCTTACTCTTCCTTTAACACCATATTCAAAGCTGGGAGTGTGGGTAGACAGAAGGGATCTGGCAGAGCTTAGCTGGTGCCCCTCACCTTTTTGCTGCCCAGCCAGCTTGTTCATCAGGTAGGATTTGCCTGTGCGGTAGAGACCCACAATGGCCACCACCACAACAGGCTGTGTAATGGCAGACAGGATCTTCAAAGCTTCTGGATTAACCACTAGTTGCGTGTTAGTGTTCTCAATGAGGCACACCGGGCCTGGCATGTGGATGTCTGAGGCCATGTCCAGGGTGTCACCTTATCTGCAAGCAAAGAGATGGGGTGGATTAGAATTTCCAATCTGAGTAGATCAAGAACTTTCACCAGGTTATTTTGATCAAAAAGGTAGAGTCATAATATTTCCCAATGTGGCCAAAAGTTCTGTGTCAACAGTGAGATGGATGAGGGCAAGATTTGTATTATTTTGGAAAGTTACAGAAGTGCAATTAAAGTAGTCTATTAAACAAATATTGGTATGACAAGGACATCAACATTTAACCACTTTCATGAACAAAATCTTTAATTTACCATAGAAAACTTTCTTTTTAGATTCTCATTAAAATTTTCAGACTAGAGCCCATCTGGTCTGGCTCAGTGGTTGAGCGTGGGCCCATGAACTAGGAGGGCAGGGTGCAATTCCTCGTCAAGGTACATGCCTGGGTTGCAGGCTTGATCCCCAGTAGGGGATGCATAGAAGGCAGCCAATGAATGTTTCTCATTATTGATGTTTCCATTTCTCTGTCTTCCTTCCTCTCTCTAAAATCAATAAAAATATATAAAAAATTTATTTGCTAGACATTAAATAAAAAATAGAATAGGCTTTAGAGAGTAGTTTACATCTTGGCCATATGTAAGAAATTTAATTTTTATTTGTTAATTAATTCTGCTATGAATAAAGACTTTTGGGAATAAATGTTTTGTCATTTGATGTATGATTTGGACAATTTTCACAGATTTTTTGTTGATAATCCTCACTGGAGGATATTTTTTCATTTATTTTTAAGGACAGTGGAAGGGAGGGGGAGAGACACAGAGAGAGAAACATCTATGTGAAACAGACACTTGGATTGGTTGCCTCCTGCACATGCCCCCACCGTAACCATTCAATCCACCCTTTATCCAAGGGTCGACACTCTAACTGCTGTTCACAAACAAGCAGGGCATTTTTCACAGATTTGAAATGTGTTTTTTTCTACTAGTTGTGCTTATTTTGCAGAAATGAGGGTTCACAGAACTGTGTATACTGTGATTCTGGAAATGGAACTAATATAACTTACATTACAAATTTTATAAAAATGTATGACTCAATTAAAAACATGACTAGGGACATTCCCATCCAGGCTGTGCCAGAGGCACAAGAGAAAACACCTGCGCTTTTACAAACTCTCAAATCCACTGAGCTGGTTTGGGCAGGATCATGAGGCACCAGATCCTATGGGGAGAGGCGGCACGGCCTTGCAGTGGTCGGAAAGCGAGGGAGGCTCTGTCGCGCAGCTGCTCGCCGGCACTGGGGTACACGAAGTCCCAGAGTCCCAGAGAGCCGTGGAGACGCCATTGCTATTTGCTCCTCCCCATGACGCCCTGAGACCCCGCCCTACTCAATTTACATCCCCATCCAAGCTGTGCCAGTGGCACAAAAAGACCCACCTGCGCTTTTGCAGCCTAAACCAGCAAATTGCAGACTTCAACTCCTCGCACCCATGGGAGACACACTCAAGAAGCAGACCCAGGAGAACCAAGATGGTGGAGTAAGGTACAGACCTGTGCGTGCTGCCTCCCACAACAACATTGAAACTACCAACTATAGGACAAACAGCTATCATACGGAACCATGGGAAAGCTGGCCCAGTGGAAGCTCTACAACTGGAAGGAAAGAAAGAAGAGCATTGAGACTGAGTAGGATGTGCAGAGGCACCAAGTACAGAGCCCAACCCAGCAGGCTGCAGATTTTGGCTCCTTGCATCCGGGAGGGACGCGCTCAGGGGGCAGAGTCGGGTTCGGGGGAGGCCGGGGCCAGGCCCGGCTGGGCCGGTGATGTGGAACCGCTGTACCAGCAGGCGCACAAGCACGTCCACCAGTTCCAGTCTCACGTGGGATGCTGAGGGATGGCAGACAGGCAGTCTGTGCATTTGGTGGTGGGCGAAGTCCGAGCAGGCGTGCCGGATGTTCAGCCACCAGGAACGCCTGGAGATTTTGTCTGGTGGGGAGCCGCCCGGCAGGGGACAGAGTGCCAAACTTCGTATTGCCCCGGTGAGTTCGGGATGGCCCCGGTGAGGTTGAGACAGCACCCGGGGACGGAATGGCACTGGTGAGGTCGAGACGGAACCGGTGAGGTCGAGACGGCCCCAGTGAGGTCGGGACAGCCTCAATGAGGTTGGGACAGCCCCGGTGAGGTTGAAACGGACCCAGTGAGGTAGGGACAGCCCCAATGAGGTCGTGACGACCCTGGTGAGGTCAAAACGGCCCGGGTGAGGTTGGGATGACCCCGGTGAGGTTGAAACGGCCCCGGTGAGGTTGAGAAGGCCCTGGTGAGGCTGAAACAGCCCTGGTGAGGTTGGGACAGCCCCGGTGAGGCCAAAACGGCCCAAAACATGACTAGGGACCTGCCCAAAGCCTACGTATGGGCTTGTGCAAGCAAGGGGCCCTATACTTCAACTTCATTAACGGTGACGTTGAAACAGCCCAAAACGGCCCCGGTGACATTGAAACAGCCCCGGTGAGGTTGGGACGGTCCCAGTGAGGCTGAAACGGCCCCGGTGAGGTATGGCACCAGTGAGGTCGAGATGGCCCCGGTGAGGTCGGGACAGCCCCAGTGAGGTCAGGACGGCCTCGGTGAGGTCGGGACGACCCCGGTAATGTTGAAACGGCCCTGGTGAGGTTGAGATGGCACTGGTGAGGCCGAAACGGCCCCGGTGAAGTTGGGACGGCTCCAATGAGGTTGGGATGGCTCTGGTGAGGTTGAAACGGATAATGGGGACCAGTATACACTGATGAACAGGGGTAGATGCAGAGGCAGAGCAGCATTGAACAGACTGTCAAACTACAGTGGGAAGCCTGGGGAGGGTTTGGGGGGGGTTTAAGAGATCAACCGAAGGACTTATATGCATGCATATAAGAATAACCAATGGACACAAGACGCTAGGGGGTAGGGGAGGCAGGGAGAATTTCAAGGGGGGGGGGAAAGGAGACATATGTAATACTCTTTGTAATACTTCAAGAAATAAAAATTATTTTAAAATAAATAAATAAATAAATAAAATAAAATAAATAAAATACACACACACACACACACACACACACACACAAACTAAATAAAAACATGACTAGGGACCTGCCCAAAGCCTACGTATGGGCTTGTGCAAGCAAGGGGCCCTATACTTCAACTTCATTAACTTCACAAAATTTAGCCTCCAACTAAAAGGGGGTAAGACTCCACTGCTGCAAATACTGAATGTTGCCAAAAACCATGTTTGTGTATGCATGTGTGTGGTGTAAGGGAACAAAAGACTATGAAATATGAATTAAAAGATCAGGACGGCTTAGGTTGTTCGAGGAAAATGTATTTCTAGTCATACTTTTGTAGGTTTTCTGTTTTGTTCTGTTTTTCCACTTGGTAGAGGAGAAGGAGAAGAAGGAAGAAGACAGAAGGGGAGAAAACTGGTAAGAAAGAGGGATAAGAAGAGCTAAAAGGAGAGAGAGAGAGGGTTGTCAAAGAAGTAGGTGATGAGTAAAGTTCATGCCAAGCCAAGGAATTCAGAGGCAGTTTCCAGAAAGCAAGAACAAACCCACTTGAGAGCACAGAGAGGTCAGGTAAAAAAAATCTTGGCTTTAGCAATGAAGGTTCATTAAAGAGAAAACTTTTTAGTAAAGTAGTGGGGCCAAACTCTACTAGTAAGGGGTAAGAAAGAAGTTGTCCCTAAGAAATTGGATCTAGTGAACCAGGGCTATATTTATTTTATTTTATTTAAAAAAATTGTTATTTTTCAATTACAGTTGACAGTCAATATTATATGAGTTTCAATGTACTACATAATGGTTAGACATTTGTATACTTTAAAAGGATCCCTTCTACGGGTCTAGTACCTACATGTCAGCATACATAATTATTACATTACTAGAGGCCTTGTGCATGAATTCGATCTGGCTGGTGATCAGGGCTGATCAGGGAAGGCTGGATGGGGGAAGGGACCGAGGGAGATTGGCTGGCCAGGGGGAGAAGTCTGGGAGGTTGGCCAGATAGGGGGGTAAGGGCTGCGGAGGTTGTCCAGCTGGCTGGGGGAGGTCAGCTGTGCAAGGTTGGCTGTGGGAGCACACTGACCACCAGGGGGCAGCTCCTGCATTGAGCCTCTGTTCCCTGGTGGGCAGTGCGTAGCATAGGGGCTAGTTGTTCTGGTCATTCTGCAGTAATGGTTGCTTTGGCTTTTATTATATAGACTAGAGGCCCGGTGCACAAAAATTTGTGCACTTGGGGGGGGGAGGGGGGGTCCCTCAGCCCGGCCTGTGCCCTCTCGCAGTCTGGGAACCCTCGGGAGATAACGACCTGCTGGCTTAGGCCTGCTCCCGGGTGGCAGAGGGCACGCCCAATCCCTAGGTGCAGCCTCTGGTGGGGCTCAGAGCAGGGCTGATTGGGGAGTTGGGGCGC